CGGGGACGCCTCGGCAATGCATCTCGCCAATGGCAGCAAGGAAGGCTGTTGCGCTATTTGAGCCTCGTTTTTGCACGGCTAAGTAAGACGGAGTGATGGCCATCTCCGTGTAAATCTGCTTTAAGGGACCGGCCAGCGCTGAGTGCGGGCCGACTTCTAGGTGTAATGTGGTTGACGAAGTTCGGAGCAGTCGTACCACAGCCTGTCGGAAGAAAACTGGCGATTCCAGGTTTCGCTGCCAATACTTGGCGCCAAAGTCGGAGGCTCGTTCGAGCGTTTGGGATGAGACGCTGGAGTAGAAAGGGACGTTTGGCGATTTGGGACTCAGGTGTGTTTTGAGAAGAGATTGGTACTCGATACCAACTGCACGCATATGATCTAGAAGAAGCGTTAGTTAGTAAAGACTGGAAAATTAGGCTCTTAGTCTGGACTTACGAGAATGGTATGCCTTGTCAACCTTGAGCAAACGAACTAGAGCCTCTGGCCGAGCAGACCTGATTGCACTACAAACTGTCTCAAGGGCATCCGTATCCCCGGACAGAGTTACACTAGAGTTACTGTTCTCACAAGCGATGACGACTCCAGTCGTTAAAAACGATGTGACTTGCTCTCTTCCAAGTCCGATGGCAGCCATAGAGCCTTGAGCTTTCGATTTCTTGACCATGAACCCTCGGTAATAGGCGACGATGATCGCTTCTTTCAGTGTGAGCACACCAGCCGCGTATGCAGCTGCAATTTCACCGCTGGAATGACCAGCGACAGCCTTGGGGGCGATTCCATATCTGGCAAGGTGCCTAGTCAGGGCTATCTGGACTGCAGTGCAAATGGGCTGGGCGAATTCCGCTTCCCCGAGGCGGGAGGTCGAATCCGATTTCATAAGCTCATCTGGTACATGTCACCGTTGATTAGTCTTCCTCGATGGTGGTTTCCGTAGAAAGGATGCACTGACTTCTGATATCCCAACTGGGACGGTGGTCTTGCGGAAGACTCTTCAAGACCGCGTCCATTTCCCTGATATCCTGCAGGAAGTCTCTACTACTTTTCATCAGATGCGATCCCATCCGGGCCCATTGAGCGCCTTGGCCTGTGAAAATGAAAGCGATGCCCTCAATTTGTGAGCCTGGGCGGAAACTAGGCACGGGGGGAAGGGTGAAAGCCAATTGGTCGCAGTCATCAGTGACGACCGCAAAAGTGCGATGCGATAGGTGAGAGCGACGATGCATCAAGGTGTATGAAAGATCTTCCAACTTTGCAGGCCTGGCTCGGAGGAATTTCTGGTAGTCGTGTGCGGCCCTCTTGAGTGACTCTTCGTGACCCGCGGAGAATAGCAGCAGAGTCGCTGGCTCTCTCCTAAGAGGTGGTGAAGGAGGTGGCGTCTCGACATTGCCATGGCTTCGAACTGTTGCCGAACTTCCTACTGTTGTAGCAGATTCTAAGATTATCTGGTAATATTAGCTTTCGAGCCCGAAGACTATTGACGAGGTGACATACATGAACATTGGTCCCTCCGATTCCGAAGCTATTGACACCTATTCTTTCCGCCCTTTCTTCAGGCCAGGGCTGTGGCTCAGTTGGCACCTTTAAGCCTATTGATGTGAAAGGAACTATTGGTACTGATTAGTCCCCCGGGCACTGCTATAGAGGAACGCAACGAACTTACTGCTGACACTAGGAGTATCGAATTTGATGTTGGGTATAATTGTTCGCGTTTCCAAAGACACTACTGCCTTGATTATGCTTGAAATTGCCGAAGCTGCTTCAGAATGACCTAGGTTGGGCTTGATCTAAGGGAATGTTAACAGCTATTCGTGAATGGGAGCCGTGGCACTCACGGATCCAATGAGCATCCCCTTGTCTCCGAATATAGCGCCAACGGTGCATGCCTCAATGGTATCACCCACCGCCGTGCCGGTGCCGTGGCATTCGACCATGGCAGTCTGCCACATCTGGGTTTCTGGTATACCCGCGTGTCGATATGCATCGCGAATCAACTGCTGCTGTGCTTGTGCACTCGGTGTTGTCAAGCCAAGGGTCTTCCCGTCGGAGTTCGTTGCGGACCCTCTAATAATAGCACGAATCGGATTTCCGTCGCGGATCGCGCAGTCGAGCTTTTTGATGTAGAGGCAATTGATGGCTTCTGCGCGCGCATAGCCATTCGCACTGGCGTCGAAAGTCTTGCACGAAGCATCGGGGGATAGTACGCTCTGCTCGGCCATGAGCTTGGTGAAGCCTGGCGAGAGCATCAAATTCGCCCCGGCAACGATCGCAGAGTCGCATTCGCCGGCACGTATTGCCTGGCAGGCTAGGTGGACTGCTAGACCGGCAGCTGAGCATGCTGTGCGGACGGTCATGCTGTTGATAAAAATGATCAGTTCACGCGGAAATCTTCAAACCAACACAAGCAGAGAATCACCTTGGGCCTCTAAGATCGAATGCATGAGAAATGCGGTTTGCCTGCACAAAATCCATGTATCCTGTCAAGCGATACATGCCATCGTCTTGAGCATCAACGGCGTGCATTTCTCGCCAGTCATCTCCGAAACTGCCCACGTAACACCCAATCCTCTGACCCTGCCAGTGTGTTTCTGCAGCACTTTCTAGCGCCTCCCAAACGACTTGCAGAAGCAGCCGCTGCTGAGGGTCTAGTTTCAGCAACTCCTTGGGGTTCATAGAAAAGAGTGAAGGGTCGAACTTAGAGACATCGTCGTGTGAGAGCCAGTATCCTTCCTCGGTCGGTAAAGGTCCTGATATACCGCTCGCTGTGAAGTGGTGGTTTTGCGAGTTGTACCGCGGACAATCTGGTTTGGAGCGCGCATCTTTGCGGTTGATGAGGAAATTGTACAGTGAGGTTGGGGTGTTGATGCCGCCAGGTAATCGCAGACCGATGCCGCAAATCGCTATAGGCTCAGGCTTTGACATTGCTAATGCTCGACCTAGAAAACAGCTTCCCGTGGCAATAATTGTGAATGTGATGATCAGTGGTGCGATGGAATAGGTACATGTACCAGGCCCCTTAGCTTTCTGTCTTTTGGTGAACCTTCAGGTTCAGCTTCAGCTTCTCTATTCCTATGAAGAAGCTGTGAAGAAGGCTCACTATTCCCCTTAGCCTGATCTGATTCGAGTGGGAAAATGCAAAAAGACCGACTCGCAGTGTAAGCGGGATTTCCACATGGCAACTGTCCTAGCGAACCCCTCCAAGCCCCTGGATGAAGGTTCGGACCGCAAGAAGCACCATGTTGTAATTCGGACCGGGCCCGACTAGCGGGTACGATGCTGCGGGCAAGCCTCCTTACCACCATACCCAACCGAAATTTCTGTTGACTTGCTGTAGCATGATAGTTCTGCACATGGATCATCCGACTAGCTAAACTTCACGCTCATTCAGCATCAAGTGAAGCCATTAATCATCCTAACCATCATAGAGAGGTGTTTGCAAGTTCCATACCCGTAGAGTGATAATTGTTCGTTGACATGTTCTTGTAGCATACTCACATGAACTGTGAGCCATGGAGAAGCTGAGATCAGTCTTCTGGCAGTCTACGCCAAAATACAACGCTGTACGCACAAGCCAGTCCGACGACGACGGCCAACAAGAAGGCGTGGAAGAAAAGCTACGCAGTGAACTGGCGGCGCTGGAGAGCAACATCTGGTGTCTGCGCGCAAGTCTACTAATCACCATTGTAGCGCTCATTCTTGTGACCATCTTCGCAGTGGTCGATCGAGTTTCGTATGATAAAGCGTCACTTAATTGCGGAAAGGGGCACATAGGTAGCGATCCGAATGGCTTCGTGCCTCCAGGTGAGTCGCCTTTTCCTGAGTGAGGCAAGTGCGGCGATAGCTTGACTCACAAGTTGGTTTTAGAGATCGGTGAGCCGCCGCGGTGGACGCTGTTTGACAGCACATCGCCATATTATATCGAGGAGGACACCTTCTACGATTTAAATAAGACGAAAATGATGGCGAAAAGACTGAAGAGCCTTCACAACTGTAAGTCCATGTGTCTGTCTTCTCTACATTTCCAAACACACCGCTAATACAGTGCCAGCCTCAAATGTGCTCGTGAACGGAAACTTTGCGGATTGGAAGAAGCCGGATGGCACTCTGGCGAAGCTGCCAGCCTATTATTCTACAGTATCATATCGGCAAACGTACATCATCCGGTCCTTCCACCAGATGCATTGTCTCGTGAGTTTCGGCATTACTTGTGAGCCCCATTATATCTAATGTTGTAGTAGATCTCAATTGCAGAGGAGTATGGGCATAGGGCAAACAACGTGTCGTCACAGTGGGCTCCCAAGCATATAGCCCACTGTCTCAATGCAATCCGCGAAGCCATCATGTGCCTAGCCGATGCCACACCGATGACCTACGTGAATGGCTTTGCCGTCGGGCACGTAACGGATGACCAGCAATTCATGTGCAGAGACTGGTCAGCGCTGCGTAAGTGGGCGAACGATCCGGTGAGGGGAATTCGCTACAAGAACATCGCGCCTGAGGGGGCCGGCTACGACAACAACACTGAGATTATTCCTTTCCCGGAACTTTCTGAGTTGGAAAAGGTCGGTCTGGCATGAGCTTGGGCGCATATCTGAGAACTGAGGCCTTGCGTTAGTGTACTAGGATTAGCAGAGACCACACTGAGATATGGCGGGCAACGACAAAAGAGTCCGGGGAGGATAGCGCTATTCATGCCATTCGAAAGAGAACCGTGGTACAGTACCTAGATTGACAGGTAGCTAGAATAGAGCGCTTTTCACTTTGGAAGCCTTCCTTTTTTACATGAAAAGCCAATATCGAAACGTTCCTTTCCACTTTTTCTCAATCGTCTTAGCTAAAGTAGGTGTACTGGTTTGACATGACATTTACATCCGCTCAACTTGAATGCTGTTGGAGATGCTGGGCTATCTGATTGAGGTATAAGCCCCTTGTACGCGCTGTATAGATCAAATGACATATCACAGCCTCCGACCAAACCCTCCTCAATCCATACCTCTCAAAAACTACCCGACCAAGCAGTCCACCTCGTGAGGCTCATTGTATACCCGAGTGATGTTTGGCAAGTCGATTTCCCAAGACTGCGGGATTCCGTTGTACAAGATGCAGTGCTCGACATGCTTCGGGTCTCGGCAAAGAGAATCCAGAACTCGAGGTTTGAAATGGGATGCATACGTGATCCTATCCCAGACATAGCTGCAATGCATGTGATGGATGGTGCCGTCTGTAAAGATTTCGCCATGTTCACCACTGGCAGCCACATCAAACGGAACTTCATTGATACGTTCTCGTTCGTACCAGTACGTCGTGTTCCTCCACTTCATATAACCCAAGTATTTCTCGTGCATCTCTTCATTGAAGCATCTGGGATGCATCCATGTGGAGAGCATGAAGTCGTAGACACAGCCTCGGGCTTTGGACTCTTTCCAGTCAGGGGAGCATTTGCCTAGCGATACAGGCTCTGGTGGTCGTGCGGGTGTCATGTCGTGAGTTATTCGCCCAAGGTAAAAGATCCCAACTGCTAGTGGTATGAAGGCAAGTTTTCCGGCTATTGCCCACATGCTGTTACGCCGTGCTTTTTGTTTCTGCGGGGCAGCAGCGCTGTAATCCACTGAATCGGTCTCATCATGGTAGCTGGTTCGTCGTGAGCTCGAGCCTTCTTCGCTTTGCGGTTGTGGTGGAAGAAACGCCTGCTTCTCCATGTCGAGAGACAAGTTAGTTGATCGTGCGGTGTCGAGTACTGTGGCGATCGATGGGCGATACTGAGTATCGAGGCCCTAGCATCTGTAAACAGCACTGTTGATAAGTAAAGATGGCTCTTTGGCATGGATATGATGGGTAACATCAGCTGGGCGTTGAAAGAGTTCGGATACAACTGCGGATAAGGTTGGGGCCATATCTCGGTCCGTAGGCAGAGTGGGCCAGCATCCCGGCCTAGCTGTCAATTCATGGGGAGCAAACACTTGGTCTCAAGGCTGCAATCCTTCCCAGAGAGATCATTGCCTTCAGTTCTGTCGATAATTCCAAAGCTGACGTAGCAACATCACCAACCATCATATTGCTGGCCCAGGCTGTTGCCGTCGAGATACCACTTCTCCCACCATGCCCGCGGCAAACCCAGTGCTGATTCAGGACATCCCAAGATCTCGCAATGAGCCGCCACCAGTATTCTTGATTCACGATGCCAGTGGGCTTCTCACCAGCTACTTCAAGGTTGGAACTCTAGGACGCAAGGTCTATGGAATATGGGACCCCAAATTCGATGCGGACGGCATTGGCGGATGGCAGAGCGTAACGGAAATAGCTGAAGCATACATCCGCCTCATCAAAAGAGTCATGCTCAGAGGAGAAATCGTCCTCGGTGGTATGTGGTGCTAAGCCCTTCACTAATCGCTTCGAGCGCTAACCAGAATATAGGATGGTCATTTGGGGGCGTTCTAGCAGTGCAAATCGCCCATATGCTAGCGATGTCAGGCCGTGGCCTGCGCGTGTCGCGAATCATCCTCATAGACTCAGTCTACCCTCGCTGTCCTCGACCTGAAGCTCAAAAGGAGCCGGCAAAGTTGCATCACGCCCCAGCTCTTCCTGGTGTTAACCAAGAAACCCGCGACAAGCTCATGACTGCTCTCATGCGAGCGACTTGTCTCTCTGACCAGTGGGACCCTCCGTCGTGGGCGTTGCCGAGGACCGGTGTTCTTGGTACAGCCCGCTCCCGGGATGTCGACCCGACTCCGCCGCACGTGGTGTTAATTCGAGCCAAAGACTTGGTGCCTATGGCGGACCCGGCTGAGAAGTGTCCTCTTGATAGAACTCGGTTTCTACCTCAACTTGGTTGGGAGGATATGCTGGAAGGGTTTGTGGAGCAGGTTATTGAGACGACAGGTAATCATTACAGCGTCTTTGATTCAGAACATGTAAGTCGTCACTGAAGCGAGGCTACCGTGCAAAAACATCTACTTACCCGGCGAGAAAGATCGATACTATCACCGCTCACATTCGGAAGAGTCTAGATATGAACCTTGGTTGATAGGATGAGGGAGTTCTGGGTTGATGTTAAGCACTTTACACGTAGAATTCCTGTTCTTACCGTAAAGGCGCAACAACTCGCCGAATTGATATTTGCTGCCACCTTATGCTGCGTAGGCTTGCCATTCTTACTGTAAACCTCAACTCTCGGATACTACTTCGATATTCTATACACCATCCATCCACCTGGTTTCAAATCACATTCTGTGATACTAGTCTACAATCTCGTCATATTTATCCTTCTCATCCTCTGGTGCAACATTGACCCATTTCACTGCCCGAACCGGGTCGTGGGCCCACTCCCTCAGCGCAAAGAAGTCCCTGCAATGACTCTGCTGATCGTCTGTAGTGTGGCCGACACCCATACCATGAACGTAAGAAATTGGTGTCGCGTCCGCTAGGCATGTTATCGCTGACCTCACCGTGTTCAAACAGTGAATGACATGGCCCGTTTCCCACTTTGACGTTTTATTATTGACCCTGTAGCCGATGTCCTCAAAAATGATTGACTGGCCTCGTATTAGTAGCTCAACCCTTTCAGCCCTTCTACAGTTCAGTATACTCACAATGCAGTGCATCTGGTGGAAAGCGCGGATGCTGTAGAGCTCTGAACCCTTGCGGGTGACATACGCAGGGAGCGGTTGCTGCTTGTTATCGAAATCCATGTACGTGCTGTATTTTCCGTTGATTCTCACGTTTGATGCTATGCAACGAATCAGTTGGACTGGAACCCAATCAGTAAAGCAACGTAGTGTCGACCAACCGTTGTGCAGCATCTTGAAATCCCTCGCAGCAGCTTGTACACTTTCGAGGTTCTCGAAAACGTCGGGCTTGAAATAATGCGGATCGCTCTCATCATCGTACTTAGCCCACTTGACAGGCTGTCCGATTTCTGTGCCTTGAGTTAGGGCCGCGTTTTAGCGTTAAGAAAGGGTTTGGCTCACCTGGCGGGACAAAACCACTGGGATCAACTCCTAACGGGGTGACTTCTTCTCGAGACCAGGCGGTACCAATATTGAGAAAGACGATGTATCCGAGAAGAATGATTAGCAGAACACCCTCAGCCCAGGCTACTCGTCGAATCTTGCAGAGGCGCTGATCCCATAAGACACGATCACGATTCCACTGGTCTGGGTAGGTCGGCGAATTACCGCGTGGGTCACTGTGATCTAGGTCCATGCCCCCGAGGCTTTCCAACTCGTCATGGTCCAGATCTTCGCCCTCTTCAAGGACGTCGTACTTGACCGTTTTCCTCATATTGCTCGCGAAAGTCACGTTCTTGCCCATCCCTATTGACTAGGGTTGAATGCAAAACAACCTGATTCCATGTGCAACTGAGCAGCAAACCCGGTTGAAGCAGTCGGGTTTACCTGGCTCAACTATGCTGGAGCGGCCTATCGATCGAACCCCAGAGCCACCCAAACAGACAGCTCTTGCCCTGACAACTAGACCTGAGTAGCGGACCGAGGTGCCCTGCGTGAAGGTTTAGTAGCACTGTTTCAATCTGCCCGTCTCCACTGCGGACCGAAGCTTTGCACAGAGCTACCCCGCCACCGTCGGGTTCAACTCGGAGCTCTACTTTCCTAATTGAGATGCAGCCGGATGCAACTGATGTGGTGGGAGATGTCCCGCCAGTGGTTGAGCTCAATCATGGTGAGCAGAGCGAAGAACGCAGGGCATTGAGATCTCTGGCTTGTGTAGGGCAAGTTCGACCTGGGAGCGACGACCAAACCGTGAATCGACGCTTTGCTTGAGAGATTTGACTATTATCGAGAATTCAACAGATATGGAAGCCAAGCAAGACGAAGTGACTTGGCGGTCCCTGCCGCGAAAGGACCAGCTCGCCATTTTATGTTTCCTACGGTTTGCCGAGCCAGTAGTGAGCATCTCACTGCTCGTGAGTAGACTCTCTTCACCACGACGATGTGCAAATGTGGGGGCCGCTGACAAGGCGTGTTAGACATATTTGTTTTATCAATTGCAGTCTTTGGATGCCACGCTAGACTCGGGAGCGATCGTCCGACAAGTCGCTTACTTACAAACAAGTTTTATGCTATCGCAATGTTTTTCGTCCATGTTCTTGGGGAAACTGGCCGATTCTCCAAGAGGCGGTAGAAAACTTGTTTTAATGGGGGGAATAGCTGGATCATGTGAGTTCCGCCGTCACATGCACTGGAGGTAAGATGAGGGACGGCATTTAGCCACTAACATTCAGGCCCGATGTAGTTATCGGATGTGTTGCTTTTGGATTCATCACAGATTTCAAGCAGGCACTGGCGTTGCGGATCCTCGAAGGTCTAGTCAACGGAAATGTGGCGACAGTGAGGACGATGGTCTCCGAGGTTGTCGTTGAGAAACGGTCAGTCATTCCTTAGGTTGATTAGAATTCGCTAGCAATAGCTCACGATCCGGGAAGATTCCAGCCTCATGCTTTCTTGTTGCTTCCGATCTCTTTTAACGTTGCCGCCATGGCTAGTCCCCTGATGGCCGGGCAGCTGGCTGACCTAGCGGGGAAATACCCAGATAAGTTTGGGAATAATGCGTTTCTCAAAGCATGGCCGTATGCACCACCGGCTATCCTCAGCGGATGTATCATGCTGTTGGCCTTCTTCGCTGTTTTCCTTTTCCTAGAAGAAGTGAGCTCATTCCTTTCCACCTTTGATTGTTGAATCAGGCTTACAGGTTCTGTTTCTACAGACTCTAGAGCCCCTGAAAGACAGATACGATCCTGGCGTCGCCTTCACCCGAAGAGTCCGATACCTTTTGTTTGGGACCAAGATTTCGACAGCAACCAGAGCAGGCCATGAGGATGCCACTGATGAAGAAATGTCACACATGATCTCGGAATACTCGGATCCATCTGAGAGGGATTCCGAAGAGCAAAAATCATCAATGAAGGCAGTCAAGACAACTCCCATGATCCTACCGACTAGGCGCATGTTCACCAAAAACATGTGTCTCACGCTTGTGTCATACGCCATCCAAGAGTATCACATCACGACATACAACACTCTGTGGACGAGTTTCCTCAGCGACCCGGTTGACAAAGAAGGGAAACTTAAGCTGCCCTTCTTCTTCTCTGGCGGAGCCGGGATGAAGCCAGATCAAATCATGTGGTCTCTCTTCATCGTGGGAATGATGGGATTACCCACACAGCTTTTCATCTATCCCCGTATCAGTCGTCGTCTCGGCACTCTGAAGATGTGGCGCAAGTTCATGCTTGGGATGCCGCTACTCTACTTCATCCTGCCTTACATCGCAGCTATGCCCTCGACTACACCGCCCCCAGCTGGCAAAACTGGGTTCGTGGTGTGGTTCCTCATCATCCTAGTTCAAATCATGATGGTGGGGACGTCCACGTTTGTCGTACCAGCGCAACTTGTTCTGACCAATTTGTAAGCTGCTCTTGATATCATTCTTATTGTGAATGCTCAAATTTTCTTACATCCTTTGGTCAGGTCTTCACCGCATCCGTCTGCTCTAGCACGAACTCATAGCAGCGCATTCTTGTTGTCTGGTTTGATGAGATCAGCGACTTCATCCATAGCGGGAATCGTGTATAGCTTTGGGTCGTCCCATAACATCACTGGCTTGGTCTGGTGGATTGCAAGTGGTGTTGCAGTCTTAGGGTGTCTAAATAGTCGCATCGTAGACGAAGGAAACGGCCACGAAATCTGGCTGACAGGTGACACTGAGTAGGGCAGAATCTAGGGCTGCTTTACCTTCCGGGTGATTGGCAGCAATACCTCAATTAAATACATGCAACTTGTAGAAAAGAACTGGCTTCGTTAAACAACACCACTTGTAGCTTTTGTCAGTAGAATAGGTCTCAACGCCATACAAGCTTGAAAGCTTTCCATCTCTCCTTCGTTCAACGTCGTGTTAATCTCTAGCTGGTCAGTTTCATTGATGACACACCGTTGAAACACACTCTCTTCGTCATCGCAGTAGAACCAATGTAAGGCGAGACAAGAGTTTTGATTTCAGTGACCAGTCTGCTGTTGAAGCTACCTTGTCTAACGTAATCAAGAAAAACTCCAGTAAGTACCGCCGGTTTCCCAAGAGGACAATCTGTACCATTTACCACCACTTGTCTGTTCCATCGTCTCCATCATTCTTGAAATACCGAAGATCATATGAGTATTACTCCATGTCCTCGTCGGTAACGAAGGCACGCTTGTCCTCAGTAACAAAGCCTCTCTTGTGGGGCTCAGTGATGAAGGAGCGCTTCTCCTCAGTGACAAATCCACGCTTCTCAGGCTCGGTAACAAAGCCGCGCTTGTCTTCAGTCACGAAAGATCTCTTCTCAGGCTCCGTAACAAAGCTACGCTTGTCCTCGGTGACAAAGCCACGCTTCTCTGTAATGAAGGATCTCTTCTCAGGCTCAGTGACGAAGCCCCTCTTCTCTTCAGTGACGAAACCACGCTTCTCGGGCTCCGTGACAAAGCTTCTCTTATCTTCAGTGACGAAACCACGCTTCTCGGGTTCGGTCACGAAGCTGCGCTTGTCCTCCGTGACAAAAGACCTCTTCTCTGGCTCCGTCACAAAGCCCCGCTTGTTCATCTCGGGCTCGGTGACGAAGCCTCTCTTCTCCAATTCATCTTCGGTGACGAAACCACGCTTCTCCTCAGTGACAAATCCTCGCTTGTCCTCTGTGACGAAGGAGCGTCTCTCTGGCTCAGTCACAAACTCGCGTTTGTCTTCGGTGACAAACGAACGAGGATCTTTACTCGTTAGTTAGACCACTCAATTGTCTACAGAATCTTGAGAAGTGATTCAAACACGTACCAAGCTCGTCAGTGACGAAAGCCCGTTTCTCCTCTCTCTGGATGGCCGGTGCCGCAAGAGCAGTGGCTGCAAGGATCGCAACGGAAGTAAGAGCGGTGAATCTCATTGTGAGTCGTTGGATAATGATGATAGATAGAGTTGGTGTGTTGTTGTTGTTGTCGGATTTGTTAGATGATTGAACTGCATGACGGATAGCGTGGGATGTAGCCTGGTCATATAGGGCGTTCCTACTCCCTCTTACAGCTTGTCTTCCGACATCCTCGCGGCAGACGAGCAGATCAAGTCACGTTATCTGCGGTAGTCGATTACCTCAAGGTTTGTTGAAATATCTCCATTTGCATATACTAGCTTATAGAATAATGATTAATGTTCCGGCTCGAGCCGTACATCCGCGGAACCGCGTATCACCAAGAGCATAGCTAGCAACAATGACTCAATTAGGAAAGGTTTCCTAGTAGAATCGCGTTACTTTCTTGCTCCCATGACCCTAAAGAGGATCCCCGCCGCGTTTGAGTCCTCTTATGCAGCTCTGACAAGGCCAAGTTGATAGTTTGGGCACGCACACAAAAGGCTTCCAACCTTGAGCTTGCTGGGTGGGATGACGGAAGCTTAAACGGCGGAAAGTGGGATACTTTCGAGAACAAGTAGTTGCCCTGCTTTGTTCGTACTCACAAAACCCTGATTCTTATTGTGAACCTAGTTGTAAGGTGAAATTCTGACGACACTGTCGCTCTCGGTTATCGACAATAGTGTGTGGCTTACTTTGTCTGCCCAATGATCGATCAATTCCCGGTAGTCTAGACTGTAAATTTCACAATATTCAGGGTATTGTAATTGACTTGAAACGAACTTCATTACCAATACCCACGTATGAGGATCAGAGGACGGCACCTTTATCGTCACAATATGTGTGATTTATGATAGGAATGGTCACTATGCTATTTCATCGCGAGCCCGAGAACGAAGTCATTGGCTAACCAGTCTGCTGCAACATTTGCCTCCAATGACGAAAATGTTCTATTTCCTTGGCTTGTGATCAAATTCCTTGTTCGCCCCGTGAATATGAGAATGCCCATGCACTTCAGCCAGCTGTCCATCACTACCAAGCCCCTTTTCCACACCAGGCTTCAAATCGAATTGGTGAACGGATATGTCGCTAGGCGGTCGACAAGAAGTAAAGCGAGGCCAGTAAGGAGTACTCACATGGTCCTTGGGCCTCGCGTAGTCCTGCATCAACGCATGGTCTAGGCACTGGTGGTAGTCGATGGTACCAGAGACCAAACCGTGCGCGATCTTGACCTCTTTCTTCCACAGAAACGCGCAAGAGTAGAGATGGAACTCCCATGTCGTCCAAGCCTGTCCTGGTTTGATCTTCTCCACGTCAGACCAGGATAGTTCGGTGGATGAATTCCGAGACGTGAAGAACTTCCATGGGCGAGTCTGGCGGAACTCGGCATCTAGAGCCAAATCAAAACATTGCGGAGGTTGCCATGTCGCCGTGTATGACTCAAACTTGCACCCACGTGACAATGCAGTGGGAGCATCTCTACCGCAAGGGAATTTGTCCTTGAGCAGGCCGGTGATGAGCCCGAGGTTGGTATCAGAGTGACCGTGATTCCCGTGTTCAGTTCCATAAAATGGAGAGAAGGGAACCAGAAGAGTGAAAAGGGTGCATATAGATGAGCCTAGAAGAAAGAAAAGAAGTTTTAGACAAGGTGAAAGGCTATTGTCGATACTCCCCTCGAATCTCGTGACCTTTTCGCGGTGATTTGCCATGATTGCACGGTGACGGCGGTGGTGACAGGAAGTACGTGATAGGCAGTGTTGTTGAGAGGGCGATAGAAAACATATGTCGACATTTCATGACATTTGTTTCTGCCTAGGCCAACCATGCGGGGATGATATCTTCCGCGTCATCTTCTCCGATTCAGCTTGTAGCTAGGATATGACGGTCGCTTATAGTAAGAGCAGGGCGATCAAGAAGAAAGTCTCCGTGTCGTCTGCCCAGCTCCTCCTTCAAGTCGATTAACTTCCGAAACTGACGTCCATATATCGCTAGTGCAGTTATAGTACCACTTACAGTAGGTAGTTTCAACCGATTTCTCGATAGGATCCCGGTAAGAAGGGACAAGCTCTTCGTTTAGGTTCTGTGCTCGGTTAGTCCTGTAGATGTTCTCGACTTGCTGTTTAAGCTTTGAATTGTGACACACTTCACAAGGGTCCTAGCGGGAGCTTGGAGAATTTCTCGGGTTCCGCAACCATGCTTTACAGTTGAACCTTGGGTACCTTGTCTTGTTTGTGCATTTTGCCGGGTAGTTGTCGTAAAAATCCGAGGCAGAAGTCTCACTCAAGCAAGCCCGCCTCACATATTCTGTAGCCACCTGGGCCACCTGGGCAGGTTGTAGTTCAATCGTGGAATAGAGGATGGCATGGTCTTGTCGTACAGCGGATACATGTAAAGCAACGTTTATACACTACCCTACTGTTTCTGAGGCAACTTTTCTGCCTAAGTCAGTAGCAAATAATGTCAACTACCACAGAGCATAGCAACGAAGCGGAAGAGAGGCTCTTATCCTCTCAGTCCAGCAGCTATGACGACGATATACTGGAGGAAATTGCGTCGAAGCAGGTGTTGAATCATTATCCAAGACGATTCCCTTGGAGGAAGATCTTTCAAGGCATTGGCTACTCCACATCTGGAGCCATCTTGGTCTTTTCATTTGCTTTGGCGGCATACTTCCTAGACTCACCCACGAAAATGTCTACTATCGTCCCAGAATGGAGTGTCGTCGACGGTGGCCAGACCTTTCGCGCCTGGGAGCCGTCCTCAGCATGCGGGAATGCGCCCAACGAAGCCCGCGCAGCAGGTTGCATCTACGATGACGTTCTGCTCCACTGGATGCCGACACAATGCTCTTCTCCCGAACTCATTGACGAATTTGAGCACGTATGGCCGTGGGAGTTCTTCGAGGACCAAAATGCGACAAAGGCGATCACTCTACCCCAAGTTATGGAGGGCACGCAAGACATAAAGTGGGTGTCTATGGATCTTCATCGTTGGCATTGTGTTGCAACATGGAAAATTCTCAGCAGCGCCGCACGATGGAAAACGACAGTTCCGGCTTATGCTATCAACTGGAATCACTCGACACACTGTGCCGATCATGTGTTGATAAATATGCACGTCGAAGACCCGTTTGCTATCAACTCACATCTCGACATTGAGTACACACCATGCGTGACTCTGGCAGAGGACAGATCACTAGAAAGGGGAAGCGAGTGGTGAGGATTTCGTGACACAGGCATCTTATCAGGAGGTCTATCCCTAAGTCAAGGTCATGGTCACTCGAAGTCCGCGAATTTGTAGTGTAAATTTGATGAAGCTAGATATCAATCACGGAAGAAACATATTCACTCCAGAAAATGGATCCATAACGCACATCAATGTCTTTGCGACCGAGAATAAGAGTTTATATCTGTATCCCGCACCAACAATAGCAAAACTACATAGATTCTTAATAGCTAGACAAGACATATGCTTCGATAGAAACCATCGCCCCTCTACTCCCTGGTCATTGGTCTGTGAACTAAGGTAATTACGTGTGACACGGAGTGATTTAAAATGTGACAGCAAACCTCTCTCTAGCTGTCTGGCCATATCTTTGAAGTAGCCATGGAACCGGACAGAGCAAAAGTGAGATGAATCCTAAAAGACTACTTCCCCAGCCGAGCCCTAACCGATTGAACAATGACTCCCCTGCGAGTGGCAGAAATGCACCAACGATGCAGCGGAAGATGGTAGATGCTGCTATCGCAGAAGCAGCGTACTTCGTAAACGCGTCGATGAGGTATGTGTGCAACGGCATCTGGGCACTCGATTAGTATCTGAAACGTATGGAAGATGTTAAAATACCCACCATAATCAGGATTAATCCGGCTCCGAGAAGTGCTGAGCCAATGATTGGGAGTATCCAGTGCAAGTGGTACTGCGCGGTCCAGCCGTAGAAGAATAGTCCCAAGGGTGTAAGCAAGATCGACCTGGCCATGATAGGCAGTCGGAATTCAGGCTCACGATGTCCATCGTTGCGTGCAGTTCGTCTATTGGCCATGCGGTCGTTGAAGATGGCATTGCAAATTGCTCCCGCGCTGAAACCTACGCCTAGGCCAAGGTAGACTAAACCGACTGTGCCCAACGAAAAGCCGTACTCCGAAGTGAAGACGGGCGTGAATGTCGTCAACAGTATGTACTGCCTACCATCAGCCTCACGCCAGATTGTGTAGAAATTTCGTGGGGCTTACCATATACCCGTAGGCTAAAGCAAGTATCGTTGAGAGAACAAGCACGATTGGGCTCAAGAAAAACATCTTGACAGGCCGAACCAGTGCATTGAGAAGGAGCGTACCTGGACTCAACGCTGACTTTTCACCCGGCGCTACGAAAGTGCTTTCGGGATGAGCTTTCCTTAAAGCCACTGCACGCTGGTGCAGCAGTCTTGGAGGATATGTCTCCCGTAGACAGAGGAAGCAAATCAACGTGAAGGCACCGGACTATGGCTCTTGATCAGAAATGGGAGTCAGACCACGGTACGCGACAAGCACTCACAGGGATTGCAGTGACCCAAAAGATCCATCGCCAGCCTAGATCTTGTGAGATATAGCCGGCCGCGACCGGTCCCAGTGCTGGTCCAAGGATGGGACCAACGAAGTAGACGCTCACCACCAATCCTCGCCGCTCAGGTCGGATGAGATCAGCTATGGTGCCACCGCCTATAGCCAAAGGGGCTGCACCCGAGGCGCCAGAGAGGAAACGGAAGATGATGAGGGCCGGCAAGTTTGGTGATACAGCGCTTAAAATGCTAAACAGAGTGAAGAGGATGTTTGAGCTGTGGTAAATGGGCAGTCTCCCATACAGCTCGGATAAAGGAGCAAAGAAGCTGACGAGCATGAGTTGATTATTACTGGAGGCTTCATTACCTTGAAGAGAACAGAACTTACATTGGACCAATTGCATATCCTAGAACAAAAATAGAGACGATGAAGGATGATAGGACTTTGCTGTCGCTATGGAACTCCGCCATCATGTCTGGAACTCCGGGTGCACACATGGCGGATGCGATGGACCTATGGAGCCACATCATTCGCAGTCAGTCAGCTATTCCAGCTTCGCTCTTGTGTCGTATTGGGAAGCACGATGACTTACGCGATGAAAGTCAAGGCGCTGACAAGTCCAACGTTGATGCACTTTCGAGTAGTTGACCAGTTCAGGGGCTTACTTTCGTCTTCTTCCCCATTCCAGTCCACAACGATATCACCATCTTCATCCTGCCGCTCGGCGCCAATCTCAACCTGCTTCTCAGTGGCCATACTAGAAGTTTGCGAATTCGCTAGCAATTGTTCTCAGCGACTACTGATCGCACGCATACGAACTCTGGCCAGCCAAGTGTAGGGAAAAGTTCCATAGCTACATACTTACTCAGGATTCAACCTAGGGATCCCGCGTATTGTGAACGAACATGGAGTACCATGTAGGCTTGAACAATCAAGAACCCTGAAGCCTCATCCCAAGTGCAGCATCGTCGGGGAATAGCAAAAGTATTCCGAAACTTTCCTTCTCACCCGAAGTTGCGACGAAGCCCCCACATCACGACTCGCGATACTTCAGCTCATCTTAGAAGTCCTTTACCCATCTTGCTTCATCTCGACCAACAGACGTAAGATAGGTACGAGCAAGCGGCAAGGGTCGTGCCGCCACCCAAATAGAGTTGCCTTTTTTTCCGCTGCTACAAGTCTAAGTCTTGTAAAGACGTGCTTACGCGCCCTATTTGCAGTAGACTTTGAGTGTTCTCGGGGCAGCTTGCAGGAAAGTATCCCCTCCGAGGTGCAGTTAGGCAAAAGGAGACTCGTTTCCAAATTTCTAAACAAAAGCCTTTGTACCGGATGAATAAACAAACCACGTGGAAAATTTCTGCCTACAACTTGCCAATTAGCCGTATAGTCGAATGTCTACCATTCCAGCCTCGCTTTAGGTTACAGGTAGCCTCGAAACCTCATTGCGGACGTTTCACCGGGGATCCGCCTCGATTATAGCTATGCTTTCTAGCGGACATGGAAATCTAGTTCCGAGGATTTGGTTTGATCACCTATGTGTCTATACAATATCACAAGGACGAAGCATTAGTATCCGCGGTTAGGTCGGCTATCAAGTGGCGTGATCTGATCTCGTCAGACTTGGTGTACCATACATGAAGAGGAAGATTCGTCATGTGCAACCGAAACCGAAGTTACAGGCGGTGTCCCAAGAACTACAACCACGAGCTACGTTATTCGGCCACCGTCGCCAGGAAAACTCTCTGAAGGCCGGAATCCCTCAATTTCCCCCTAGTCCAATCAATATGATCGAACCCAGATGCCTTGAAAGCATCCCGCCATACCGTCTCGTCAGCCGTCGCATGCTTTCTCCCGTCGCTGAACAACCACCATCCCTCAAACAGCCCAAACACAAAGTCAGCCCAGCACAAACGCTCCTGCACCTCCATCACCAGTGCAAACCCGCCAGGTCGTAAGAATCGGCGCGTATTGGTAAGTGACTTTACCATGTCGGGGGTGGCGTGAACTGCGTTTACAGCAATGACTATGTCCTGGGTGTGCGCGAGATCTACAGGTGGTGGCTTCTCGATGTCCTGTGTTCGATAGTTCATAAAGGGGTAGTCTTGGAACTTCCGCGCAGCCTGAGCAATGAAGCCGTGTGCCAGATCGGTGAAGGTGTACTCGACAGGGACTCCCGATTTAGCGAGCAACGGGGCAAGCCATTTGGCTGTGCCCCCTGTTCCAGCACCAAGCTCCAGGATCTTGAGTTGAGAACCGTGAGGGATGGTGACGGCCTTTGTGAAGCGGGTCATGAAGTCTTCCATGAGCTTGTGAAAGGCCTTGCTCGGATGCGCTGCGCCATAGATATCTTCCAGATACTTGCGCCCTTCTGGGGACCCGAAAATCGATCGGACGCCATCGGTACGTCCCACATAAATCTCGGCGAGGTTGTTACCCGCGTGAGCCACAAGCTTGTTCAGAGATGTGTATGTCGGAAAGTCATTGAGAATATGTTGAAGAGCATCTTTTGGATTTCCAGGTGGTGTGGGTGTGGCTGTCCTGATGAACGAATCTCCTTCTTGGCGCACAAGTCCTGCATCTGAAAGCATTTCATAGCAGAAGTCGAGCTGTTTCTGTACGTTGGCGGTGCATTTGATCGGTCTCAGCTTCTGGCCCGGTTTCGTACGCGCAATATCGCATCGCAATTTTTGAAATGATTTTATGATCAGCTGGACGATGAGCAATTTCTGTCGTGAGTGGACGTTTTCATAGTAGCCCGCAAATCCACAATCTGTGACAATCCTGTCCGTACTGTCTCTCGTTTCGTTGAAGGCTTCCACGGCCGCCATTCTGCCATCTGATGCTGGTTGACTCTGAATTATGACGACGTCTTTGATGTGGCAGATTATACTGCGGCGTTCTTGGATCACAACTGGGGCAACTAGTCCATGAGGAACCATAAGCCCGACATTTCTACAGTACCGGAGCTGTCAATCTGTCACTCATGTGGAGTGGAGAGGGGGACCATCGGTCCGGCGCGGAGGTCACTGAATCACGCGGAACCCCTTCTGTGTGCCTCGGACAGCGACGACTGAGTCGCAATTTCATCACTAAACCAACTCATTACTAAGTGAACTAAATTTCACACAATCTTCATTAGTACGGTTCTGTTCCAATATCTCGGTAGCCTCTTTTTCCCTATAAATGTCGAATGTAAGGAGTAACATAGTGACGGGTTTTGATCAAGTATGGCGTTAATGAGCTGGTACAACTGTAGCTAATACGTGCATCGTAGTTTTCCGGTATCACCCTCCCACGTCGACTTCTATCTTGCGAATCATTCCCGCTTATTTCCTTCATTCAATGAAATACCTTACGAGATTAAAACGATGTTTGTTTGATTCAATTGAACATGAACACTTTTGATAGTGAAATGTATGCTTTCTACTCTGTTGTCGACGCCTTCATCTAAGCGGAGGGGGACAAAACCACGGCCTGTTGCACTATGATTCTGTGTCGGGGCCTGGATTAAAGATAGTAGTCACTCGGGGCTGCTGTCTTGAACCTCCCATACATTCTAGGCTCGCTTCTTCATTTCGGATTATTTGAGCCTTGCCCTACTTCTTAAAGACCCCCGAATCCGGAGCAACACTGATATGTGAGTGGCTTCATCGTTCCCGAGTTGACGGACCGCACGGGGTCGGATTTTGGCAGGCCTGTGCCAGGACTCAGCGAAAGTTACTTCAGGTGGTTTAATGCGCGAGTCATTCATCGCCGCCCTGTTCGACCACTGACTCTCGCGCAGCTCATGCCTCGGAGACTTGTTGAACTCAGTGCGGACAATGAAGGCCACCAAAATGTCCAGACTTGGGATACTCCGTGTCGGGACTTGGCTTCTGAGATCGATGCATCTTCCTTATGATACTACATGATTGGCCATAAAGAAGTCTGAAATTGAAGCTACGTGTATCTTCTCATGAAGCAATCGTGTAGACGAGCTTTCCAGCACTCACGTTTCCTTGCTTCAGGTACTGTATGCCATGAAGAACACCTTCTAAGCCATCGCCGCCTTCATTTACAATTTGCCTGGCAGGCTTAAACTTGTCCTCCTGCAGTAGCTTTTCACTCACATCCCAGAACATCTTCCCAAACTCATAGTCGTCAAGTCTAGGCTCAATGACCGTCTCCTTCTCTATCGTCTCTCCTAGGATCGTGTAACCCAAGGTTGTAGAGCACTCGATCTTTGGATTAATCTTCTTGACGATGGAGGGAACCAAGTACAAGAGGCTGCTGTAGTGCCCGCCTCGTACCGACATCGCCGCGGCGCATATGCGTGCAGACTGGGCTGTCGCAATGCAATCCCAAGCGTGCCTCAATCTTCCCTTTGTGAAAGCCTTGACCTGCTCTGAACAGTCCTCTGCTTTGTAGTCAACGCAGAAATCTGCTCCCAGGGCCTTCATGTAGTCGAAGTTCTTGGGCGAACAGGTTACGATGACCGTGCAGTTGGACATCTTGGCGAACTGAATGCCCATGATTCCTGACGCCGTGCTTCCGCCGTAAATGAGAAGAGGAATCGGCTCTGGTGACGGCTTAGTGGGGAGTGGAAGTGCCAGAGACTGGTAGAGTCCTTGACCCTGTATCTGATTTTTAGCGATGATCTATTGGGAGCAAGTGTGAATAGAGCACTAACCACCGCTACTAGGCCAGACGTGATTGCCGCCGCCTCAGTGTCATCAACATGGTCAGGTATCTTCATCTGTAGGCTCGCCTTTGCAATGAGATACTCTGCAAATGCCCCATCTTCCTTCTGTCTCACATTTCTGTGCAAATATAATCAGAGTCATTCTGTGATCTGGAGAGAACATGTCACTTACGAGCCATTCACAATCCCGAAGACTCTGTCGCCAATTTTGAAATCCTTATCCACTCCGTTGCCGACCTCGAGAACAACGCCGGAGTACTCAAGACCTGGTCGCGTACCAGTGGGGTTACCCACCCACATGAAGTCAATGTGCTTCCAGTCAGAAGGGTTGATAGCGACTGCAGTCGTTTTCACGAGGATATATCCATCACGTAACTTGGGAATAGGCGATGTGGCTATTGCCGCTTTACCGCGACCTTCAATGATGACAGCCTTCATGGTGTTGGGGAGAGTAGAAGCCATAATTGTATAGGAACTGAGCTGATGGGTGATGCCAGTCGCCAGCCGTAGCAGTGCTGTAGTAGAGCCGTCGATGGAATATCTCTCAAGTCATTCAGTGGAATTTCTTTGCTCACGCGACCGTTACATGATACCACATGTACTTGTGATGTGGAAATTAGATCTCGTCCATCCAAGTTAGTTGCCTGGTCCATTGGCTGGTGTCTTTCGGAGTGTTCAACTTCATGTTGTGACGCATCTCGGACCGCAAGTTGTGCAGGGACCGGGTCATCATGAGGTGTTCGCGAGTCGATTCTCGCAGCCAATCACATTAGACGGAAACAATGCGGCTCTCGGAATTCGAGCAATAGACTTTCGCAAAACTCGGACTCAACTATTCTGGCAACATAGGGGAAGTCTTCTGGAGTACCGAGACCAAATTCATTGCGACATCGTTCATCTCTTGTTAAAAATCTCTACATTAGCGTCAAAGTAATCTCGTCGGCCTTGTAACCCAAATCATAATACACAGCCAAAACTACACGATATCCTTTGCTAGGCTGGCATTTAACTCTCACTCAGCAGGCGTTTGCGGGCTTTTACCATCAATTTTTTACCACACTTTAGACAATGTCAC